CAACACATCTAATTAATGTAACAATGATTTGAGTATTTGGTCTTACCTTAGGCATGTCGACGTAGTAGTTGACATTGTCGAAGGACATTGTGAGAGGAGTAAAAGGTAGAACCATTCCTCTTTTCACGTAAGTGATCTTACTCTCTAAGTCATTCTCGGCTCTATTTTCTTCTGCATTCCCTTTAGAAGCCATGGCTTGCGTTTTCTCAATTGCTGGTATATCAAGAAAACATAGATGTTAAAATGTCAATGTTCATGTGTTTTTCCACATTAAAACCAATTAGCTATAAGTAGATTTTTGTATATATGTATTTTATATACTACATTTAGGTCTCAAGTTATTGTAGATAGCAGAATATTAATAGAAAAAAGTGATAAAATCAATCAATCAATATAGGTAAACTTACGGTTTAGATATGTAAGAGCGAGGGTGACTAGGATGTTAAAGAGAATCGCAAACCCGAGAAGGACTCCTACCCCGATCCAGTACCAGCTTGGATTGGTGAAAACATCGAAAATCTTTAGAACGGCCAATCCTAACCTAGTGGAATTATCAGAAGACTGCAAGGCAAGTATAAGAGTGTTGTTTAATTAATCATTCGATTTTTGTTCTTAAAGAAGTTAAAAGACTTTTTAATAACTAGATCGTAGAAATATTGGTTGGAGTTTACCGGTTGATCCATCCATCTAGGAGCAAGCATTTCGTTGACAGTCAAAGCATCGTAAGTGTAAGCCATTGGTGAAACCCAGTATGCCCATTTCCACCATATAGGAATGTCACCTATTGACCATTATCAAACATCAATTTTTTAACAATCAATTAGACTGTATTTTTGATGTATAAGGTTATATAATATAACCTCTAGGAACAATGAATCCTCCAAGCAAGAAGAGGAGCATAACAACTAGAGATCCTCCCGTATTTGCAAGAATCATCGATCTACAAGTTGCCGCGCTAAATCGGAAAATACTACCAGCCATTTGCTGTGTCAGAAATATCACCAATAAATGCTTCAAGAACCTACCATAAACAAAAACAAAAAGTTCAGAGATTACTTTTTTCATAACCAGGAAGTTGGGATTCGTTGAACATTAATATGTTCATGATTGTATTGATTAATGAACTCTAATGTAACAAGTTGAAATTGGCTGGTTCAAGAAACATCGTCACCTGATAAATTCTGGAGCAAATCCGATCAAGTAATAGGTAATGCTGACCCAAACAACGGATTCGAAGATGGAGATAGGAATGCTCAAGAGAACTGTTGGGAGAGTGAAGGTCCAAGAAGGGTGAAACAAAAGGTCCCGTTGCTTGTAGAACACGGGAAGTCTTTGAATCATCATAGAAAGTTCAGCGAACCCATTGAACATGTTAGCGATCATGGCGAACGTCAATGCACCAACGTAGACGGCTCCATCATTCTCGTTCTTTGTGTTCATCTCTGTTCTCAGGTACACGGTCGAGGCGATCAAGGCCATAATAGTGATCTGAACGGTCTTGAAAACGTAGAAGAAAGTGTTGCGTTTTATGAGAAGAACTTCTCTGTCCCAACAGATCTTGAAGAGGTGAGATTTTGGAACAGAGTGTTTGTTGAACACAAGAGAAGCTGGATGTGATTTGAATCTGTCGTAAGGGACGGATAGATCATCTTCAAGATTGGCTCCGACATGGAAGCTTTCGAATCTTTTAGAGAATTCAGAGACAGGAATGTATCTGTATGGTTTTGTGGTGTCTGCCCAATACTGTTCTTGGTCTTTCTTTGAAGTTACCTGTTCACCAAGGCAAGTGGGGTCAGATATTTCTTCTAATGGTCATTTTGCTAGATGAGGTCATTTTTGGCAGAGAGAAAAGTTTATGGTAAAACCTTAAATATATGAGTTTTCCACGCGTTAATAACGTGATATCGTGTAAAATAACGTGTTATTATTGGATAAAATAGCATGTTATTTGTGAAAACATATGCAACATCGATCATGTTTTTTTAGAAGACCACACGCAAAATATTAACTTTATAACTTTGTCATTTGTCGTTTTTACAAATAAATAACTAAACTATGATCATTTAGTGCGTATACTAAAAAAACAAAGGTGTAAAGCAAACTCATAACATGAGTTGAATGAGGTAATGGCTAATATATGGATAATTTATTGATAAGTTATTATTCTTTAGGAGGGACTCAAGCTTTCTAGATAATATACCACTAAACTATTCTATTGGTTAGGTAATCTAAAAAAATAAAAAGTTGTAAGAGTGAACAAAAAAAAGTTTAGAGATAGACCTCTTGCAAGAAATCGGCGGTGCCTTTGCGATCGGGACATTTGAAACCACAAGTCTCAAAAAAGTTAAGAACATGGTGACGTGGACCTTGGTACACGATCTGTCCTTCCGACAATAGAATGATGTCATCGAAGAGGTCGAACGTTTCAGGAGCTGGTTGTAACAAGGACATGAGAATCGTTGCGTCCGAGAGCCGAACAATCTCTTGAAGACATTTCACTATTTGGTATGTTGTTGAACTGTCTAGACCTGTCGATATCTCGTCCATGAACAGTGTCTTTGTTGGTCCTACTATCATTTCTCCTATTTTATTTTAAATTTTTAAGGAAAAGAGTTAGAATCGTGTGTGAATCATGGAGTTACATGGATCGAAGTAGGTGAAAAAATGTGTATAATATATACCTGTTGTTACTCTTTTCTTTTGACCACCTGAGATTCCTCTTACCATCTCATCTCCGACCACAGTATCTTTGCATATGTCAAGCCCTAATATCTGAAAAAAACAATACAATAATTTAACCCCAAAATTGCCAAAAACAAATAGACTAAATTTTTAATTTCGGAACTGTTGGGGTTGTTCAGTGAAAATCGAAAAGAATCCTGACTTTTATGTAAAGAGTAGAAAGGGAGTAAGTGAAATGTAGGGTCCACCAATGGCGTGAGTTGGATTTTTTTTAGATTACAATAGTTATCTTCGATTTTTTTTTTTTATGGGGATAATTTTCTATTTATTTTTCAATGCATAAATCTTATAAGTTGGGTTTTTTTTAATATCTCCATACTTGTTAGTAAATCATGAAAAATATTGCCAAAAACAAATACCATTTCAGTTCACAACATAGAACATACTGTACACCTATTTTGTTTAAAAAAAAAAAACATATACCTAATTACCTATAGTCTTAAACGTAAATTTCATTGTTCTTTTTCTTTTTGTCAAAAGTTTTCAAATTTCATAGATAAGAACTTATTAAAATATGAAAAATATACGAAAGAAGTTCTTCTAAGCTCCACTAATTATAAGAATGTTAATTAAACTTTTAGTAAGTAACTAGATTAAATTAATCTACATATATACCATTTT